TAAAGTATTTTTCCACATTTATTGGTAGCAAGCTGTCACCAGACCGGTAAAACTGCATATAAGTATTCTAACGATTAAATAAACTGTGATTAAATATTTGGCTCAAAATATATCACAAAAACTATAATCAAATAGTGAAATTTCCACACAAAAATCGTCAATTTCATCACAAAAATAAGTATGTAAATCATACATAATTTGGAAGCGAAAGCATGAAAAATTATCCGTCCATCTAAATCTTTCCTCATTCATCGAGTGTATGTGGTTTCACTTCTTCAACACTGAAATTTAAAAATGTTCTCGTCATGAATCAATTTTAAGTATTTAATTTGATTCATTCCCACCCTAACCCATCATAGATTTCGATTAAGATAAAACTCAGCAAGCCTGCAAAAAATCAGCACCAATTAACATGGCTCGTAGTCCGGTCTGTGTATTCTGAATAATATGCAAATAGTACTAAGCCTCTGATCTATGGACATTAAATGATGCCCCTAAATCATCAACAAAGCAACTGATTAATGACTGATTTTATTGAGACTTATTAATAAAATGAGTAAGCATACGTATATACGCACCTGTAATGAATTTAAGAACATGGTTCGTCAGAAATATAAATCAATTTTTATAAGCTACAAAATAAAACTTGAAATTTTGCACGAAAAAAAAAATAAAAAAAATTTGTTGGCAAAATGATTATAGAACTAGTTAGCAAAATGATTTTCAAAATTTCAAAAAAAATATGCTTGAAAGCTAAATAACATGTGAAATCATAGTGAATTAATCTGTGTTTTTTTTGCTATTTAAAAAAGATTTATTTGCACTTTATATATAACTTAAATTCCGTTTTTAAAAATTTCACAAAATTTATTACCTTTAATAAAAGTAGATCTGCTGATGTACATCGAAGTTACTCTTTGTTGAATTCACCACGTTAATTTTATATTAAAAGCGAAAACATTTGTGATTTAAAAAAGAATGATTTGGAATTTTGATATGTGTATAAATTAAATTCCGTTTTTAAAAATTTCACAGAATTACTATTCCGGAATTTTGGTGATCAGATGTGATTGAAGTCAGGTTAATTAATCTTTTTCACCACGTTAATTTTATGTTTAACAGCAAAAATATCGTAAACTTCGTAAATTCGTATTACATCAATTTTCTTCGCATATATGACATGTATTTTGCCTCATTCCCCTCCAATTTCGGCACCCTGTCCCCCATCAAACTGTCGAAGGGGAAGAAAGTCTCGCAAAATTGACGACTGGCTACTTTCCATGTAAATTTTTAACGTAATTGTGATGTTTTCCCGTGATTAAGGCCATCCAACCAAACTTTTCAATCTCAATTACCCCAGGTTTACGACTCTGTCTTAATCACCACTAAAAATCGAATGAAAACTGGTATTGCTACTCACTTAACGAAATCGGATGCAGAATAAAAAAAAACTATATCCATTTATTTTACGTGACTTGATCCATCGCAAAACTGCATAAGTAAGAGATGAATATTCCAATTAAGTCAAAAAATTCCACACTGAATAAGCTATTTAATTGACGAAACGGAAGCTGGGAAAAATTTTTCGCAATTTGAATCCAACTTTTATTTCAAATTCTTGGAAGAAAATTGTGTGAATTTTTATTTTATGAAGAGAGGCAAACCTGAAATTACATGATTTAATAATTGATTAAAAGTCTGCATTTCAGACTAGCCTGGTTTTTAAGAAGACTGGTTTTGCCTGTAAAAATTCACCTGACGACACTCATCCTCAGGTCTGTTTCACATGACTCCCATTACGCAAAAATATATTGCCATCATTTCCGTAAAAGGAATTTTGATTGATGTGGATTTGATGTCAGTGTCAATAATCATACAAAATTCCTAACTTGTTTCAATGTAATGATGATACATTAGAACAAAGTAGGAGAGTAACTACCTGAAAAGTTGGGAAATTGGGGCCTGCATAAATTATGTGAGCGATTTGAGTGGTGGGGTGGGGTGGGGTTATCTGTCAAGGCATCGCCGATAACCAATTTAATTAAGCATGAAATACGGCTATTACGACATGTCAAAATTTTGTAAAAAATCGAACCCGTCTTTTTTGTGTGTTCCCATGAAAAAGCTAGTCAACTATTTATCATGACAAAGTTCGGAGAATGTCAAGCCATACTTACATACATTATTTGCCTTATGACTTTGAACTTGGTATTGAACCGATTGCATTTCATGTGTAAAATGATCAGTCGCCTGTAATAAAATGTAATTGTGGTGTCGTTTCTACAAGTTCGATTTTTGCAAATATTTTCTGCAGACAGGTTATGCTTAGGATTAGTTAGTTAGTTGTGCGAATAATAACATGTGCAAATTTACAAGTTTTATGATTGGGTTTAAAATTGCAATATTTGCTGAAATTATACTAGATTTAAAGGGAGGACTTAAGGATTTATGTTGTCAGTCAAGTTAGGAAATTTGGCAAGATGTGCCTTAATTTGCGAAATTTGTGAGATTTGAAATTTATGAAACACTTGAAATTCGCCAATTTGTTCCTAAAAATTTAACACTATAATTTCGCAAAAAATTTTGTAAAATAACTTCCCACAATAAATCCCATCCCAAATGTTTCATCTCATACCCATCTTTTTTAAAGTCGCCATTATTCTAGGCATGTGTCACTCCGAACAAAAAGTCAATAAGTTGTTGACCTCCCGTCACTTCCAATTCAATTGATACAAAGAAATAAATAACAATCTTGGATGGGATCAATTTAAGCTGGGATCATTTAGCCAAAAAAATCTAGCAGAACCACCACTTTAAACGGTACGAGGAACGAGTGATACGAATAATTCTGCTATCGCATCGCTACGTGAATGACAAGCCTTGATGAAGACGAGTCATGTGTCTGTTCAAATAAAATTGAATAATTGTGACGGGTCGATCAGGATGTGGTGGTTCCATTTTTTTGCGAACAAGTTGACATTTAAGTTGGAAAGGAAAACATGTAATTGGCAATTTATTGAGTGAAGTGAAGCTTGAGATGAAGTAACACGTATGCCAATAAGAAATGAATTAATTTTTTTGTGCAAATAAAAGCTGCACAAAATACGTATGCTAGTGGCGCCGGGATTTTTTTTGCAATTTAGGCGTTTCTTATATATCTAACGAGTTAAGAAACTGTGAAGATTTAGTATTTATTTTGCAGGTTTTTTTCAGGATCATTGACAATTTTAAAATCATATTTACTATTTTATGACGGTATTAAATAGTTAAATTGATCTCGAATTAATAGCTCCAATTATTTTTCATTAAAAACGTTCCCACACATTTCGATATCGTAAAGAAATTTAAGGTCAAGATTAAATTCAAGCAAACCAAAGTCTACGCCTTTAGTTATTGACTAAATGTGCCAAGTTTGAAATCCGTAGCTCGTATAATTTGCTCCTAATCGAGGGAAATGTCAAAATAGCTAATTTTCTCTTCATTTACGTGAAAGACTTTCATTGTTAGTTGGTTTGTACCAATTTTGCTGCCAACAGATTTTGAGTGCATTTCATTGACGGAAACTTAACTTTGGCCCAACGTTCTTTCTCCCTCCCCAAAAAGGAGACGTTCAGCAAGAAACTAATTCAGTCTCGTGTGAGCATTAGCAGAGTCAGGAGTGTCGCCCTGTTGTAGGTGAAGTTCAACTAAAATCAAGCAATATAGACGGACAATTACAAGAAAATAGTTGGCTAAAATTAGGTTTTTTCGTAGATAATCATGTGAAGATCATGGAATTTTTCATTTTAAGAAACACGAGGTCTGACTGAATTTCGGAAATATGACAGCTTGGTGAAAGTTAAAAAATGTAAAGCTAGGTACAAGCTGTAAAGTAAAATAGTTAATACGTATTCCAATAAATGTGTTGGTAAGATTTTGTACGAGAGAAGTATTTTAGATGAAATAAATCTGTGGAAAGATTACCACAAATAGTTTTTTTTACTCGTCGAGAACGCAAATTGAGAAATATGTACGTGCGTACAATTGCTTTAACGCACTCGTAAAAGCATAATGTTTTTTTTTGCATATTATGCAATTAGGGGAAATTGAAAAATACACTGCAATTCACCCAATTATTCGGAACACTTCCAGCAAAATCTGTAAATTTTTAAAGGTTTACAAAAATTTCTAAACAAAACACTTTAAGCATCTTTGTAGTTCTAACTGTGGTAAAATTGAAACGTAAGACGATCTTGGCTTTACTGCTTCCTGAATATCAAAAATAGTTATCTTCAAAAGTAAATTATCAAGGTTCCAGATTTTCATTATTTTTTTTAAAGTGCCAATTTAACCTATAAATGTAAAATTTTATGGATTACAAAAAATTAGCATGTAAACTGGAAAAAAATCATTCTTTTCTAACAATTTACTAAGCTGTATCATTAAAAAATTATAATTTGTATAGTTTACACGTCAAATATGGGTTTTACTTTATTATTAAATATTACATTTTACTTTTCAGATCTTTTCAATGCTCATCGACTGAGAAACATTCATTAGAGTGAAAGTGCAAAGTGAAAGTGCTCTTTTATGAATCACTGTACGAAAACTATGCTCTCCAACGCGACATCCTCACCATCGTTACCATGAATCATACCCACGGGGGTGACGACCCCCTCCTTCGTTGCGGGGAGGTTTTTTCTCACTACAAGCCGGTCAAAGGTCAAGAAAACAACTCCGTGCCCTTGCAAGAAATCGAACTACAGCTAATTTCCTCGAAAAACTCGCGCGTTCTTTTTTACAATAACAACAATAATGGATGCCATTTCAGTGCTGGAGGTCAAGGTCAAGGTCAACATCCCGGGGTCAAGTATCACTTGGAGGATGCCTTCCTGCCAGGTGAAAATGGTGACGGTGATTACTCCGAGTGTGCCGAATTTGACCTGACCCGGTGCTGCTGTGAGGGAGGTGGAGGTCGGTGTGGGGGTGAGTGTGGGGGTGGGGTCACGAGTGGGGGTGGGTCTAGTGACCCGGAGACTTTCTACGAGTCTGTCCTGCTTCCAGGGGGACGTCCCCAGGTGGGTGTGGGGTCTGGAAGTGGGGGTAATTTAGGGACGAGAAACCAGTTTGAGTTGCAGACGCATGGAAGAGATTGCAATTCTGGAAATTCGGGAAAGTTGCAAAGTTTCCGGAATCAGTTGAGAGATCAAGTGAGGCAGGATGGCATCAATTTTTCGAGGGTGAGTCAATTTTTTTACGACTATTTACGCATCTGGAAATAATGTAATTTTACTCATTTTTACTAATTTTCCATTTTTGACGTGAATGTTTTTCATATTCATTTCATTTTTCATTTGTAATTTTCAATTATTCACCTCATATTCCCAATAAACCCTGACATTTTAAAGTTTTTGGTAGAAAGTCACGGCACAATTGTAAATAGAACTGTTTCCACCATGCAGAATATTAATTTCTCTCTCTCTGCTAATCCACCTCATAAGTCTATTATGTCTTATTGAGTGAGACATGATGGCATCAATTTTTCAAGGGTGAGCAAAATTGTGTAAATTTTTACTTTTACAATTATAACAAACTTAACTCAACACGAAATCTTAGATAATATTTCACTTTTCACTTTTCCTTTCACTTTTCCTACGAAATCTTAGATATGTTATAATCATCAATTTCTGCGAATTCTCGCTATTGGCGTTAAATTAGGCAAATATCAGTTTCAATTGCCAATTCACCTGAACAAGATTGCACTGAGGCTAAATCCATCGTCACTCATCATTCCAGATAACCGTCTCAAATTCCTGTTTCGTTTAATAGAGATAAGATCGTACTTTCCTTCTTCGGATATCTTGGTTTTTTCCTTGCTTTCCTGAAGCTGTCATTATTTTCGACTTTCTCCTGCTTTCACTCAAGCATAAAGGACAGAGTTTTTGTGATGGAAGGGTTTCTAAAATCCTCCCAAAGTAAATTTCATTGGGGAAAAATGATGTGATTTATATTATGGCGTTTTAATACAAATCTGTATTATAAACAATTTGTGTTTTGGAATATTCTAATCTAAAGCCCACACAAATCATTAAATTAAATCATGAAATCCCATCAAATTACACCAATCGTTTCTTTTCGAACCCTGTTCGCAAAATGCACTCGGAAAAGTTCCGTAATTCGATGTAAATCTAATTCAGAATGGTAACGTTATCGTAAAAGAGAACGAAAATGTTGTTTTACATTCTCTTTGATGCTGCTGGAGATGCATCTCATGATTTAAAAATGTGTACGAGTAATTGGATAAACCGGGTGAAATGGTTTTCTCGTGTACAAAGGAATAACAAATTATGCGTATTTACTATGTCGACAAGAGGGATATCTTCTTTAGATGTGAGGCTATTTTTAAAAAATTTAGGATAAAATTGAAATTCGGTTCCCTCAAGTAAACAAAAAAGTGCTACATATGTATTTGCGCTTTTCGAGATCGAGACACGTGTGATGCTCTAGATAAATTTGGAGATTTGAGTACTCCAAGTTTTTAGTTATTAAAGTGTTGCTTTCTCATGTAAATAGTCGTAAAACTGATTTTGTCATTGTCACTGCACTTTGAAGGGCATTTACGCCGAATATTTTATTATTTTTATGGATGTATCACGCTCGTTACAAAACAGATTTGACGTTGATATTATGAATTCACTCCAGCTTGATACCCCTGTTTGAATTTGAAAACCGCCCGCCAGTGTGAATTATACGAGAAATAAGTTCAGTGCCGGAGGTCTTAATACTCGATATTTATATCATTTACTCCGTTTCACGCTATCTGAGTTCATCGCATGGAGTAAATTAGCCGAACGAGCCGAATTATTTTATTATTTAACACCAATTTATTTTATTTTGGCGTTTACATTATTCAATTTCGTATGATTTAAACGCCAAAATAAAAATTAATGGTGTCAAATAATATAATTATTCGGCTCGTTCGGCTAATTTACTCCATGTGATGAACTCAGCGTGAAACGGAGTTTAAGGGATTGTGAGGGGAGGCAACACACGCCCCTACTTTACAGACATTGATTTTGGTCATGTGATGCTCAGTGATGGTTTAGCGGATAAGCACGGGGGTGTCAAGCTGGAGTGAATCCATAATACTTAAGTATGATAATAATCAATTACAACGGCGCAATTAAATTTTAGTAGCTTGTGTTCAAAGGAATATGTAACAGATTATGCGTATTTACTATTTCGAGAAATGGGATATTTTCCTTAGAAGTGAGGCTATTTTTAAAAAGTTTAAGATACAATTGAAATTTGGTTTCCTTAAAGAAATAAAAAAAGTGTTATTTGTGCTTTTCAAGATCTATATGTGTGTTACACTAAATTTGGAGATTTGTGTAATCCAAGTTGTCAATTATTAAAGGGTGGCTATTAAGAGTTGACAATATTTTGTTATTCTAATCCTCATGAAACTGACGAACTCGGTGGGGTATAAAGTTCACAAGTTTCGGTGGGAATTTTGAATTTTTTGCAAAAAACTGCAAATATCATCTGGCATTGTTTATGTTTTTAGTGGTTTCCAGTGGGAAGAGTATGTGTGGTGGTGGCTTCCCACCACGCATACTCTTTGACAAGTTGAGACGAATCAGGAAAAAATGCAATTTTTTGAGCTTATCAATCTTATACCGAGATTAAATGTGCACTCAAAAATGTGAAATTTGTTGAATTATAACTATTGATAGTTGGGCAACAAGGAAGCAGGCCCTTTAAGGAATTGATATGCTACTTTTATTTATATTAAATGACGAACTCGAGAGGAAACAAAATTTTGATGGAAATTGATATTCGGCATTTAATATAAATAAAAGTAGCATATCAATTCCTTAAAGGGCCTGCTCCCTTGTTGCCCAACTATCAATAGTTATAATTCAACAAATTTCACATTTTTGAGTGCACATTTAATCTCGGTATAAGATTGAGAAGCTCAAAAATCTGTGCAAAAAATTATGCATGTTGTAAACATACAGAGAAATATTGAGCGAGAGACTGTATTGGCTGATAGAGCGGCCAGAGCAAACTATCACGCCCCGTTAATGGGCCCTAAAATTATCTTAAATCATCCGGTAAAAATGTCTTAATTTGGCTTATCTTAAATCGCCCTGAGTTTAGGAAAAAGTAGCCTTTCCGATATCTTAATGAGCCATGATAGAACTTACAGTTGCTTGGATATTTAATCGTGCCAAGTTAAATGGGAAAAGTATAATAAGTGAATGATAGTCCGAGTAAAAGTTTTTAGTTTCATACAAATCCCTGGACAACGTTTGGAATCTAATTTATAATCGATCTGACTCAAGTGAATCTGAGGATGACAGATTTTCTCCTCTGTAAGAACGATAAAGGACCCCAAAAGAATGACAAAAACTTCAGGTGTTTGAAGCATTCAAATTAAATCGGAAAGGAAATTTGGGTGCAAATATTTTTTACACGAAAAGGGACTTCGTGTCGTTTCTCTTGGACAATTTTCAAAGTTATGTATTTAGAATGAGCTGATTCCTGATGATTTGAATCAGTCTCACATCGTTTCCCAACATGCGGATTCTGGAAAAAAATCCGATTTTTTATGTCATCGAGAAAGTTCCTTGGGATGACATCAAGCACAAAGCTATAAATTAGTTTGGAAATTCTCTCCCGTTCTTGTTATTAGGACGTCCGACAAGGATATTATACTCCTCTGGTTTAGGCGTCGCTACCGGAGAAACTTTCTAGTTGGATACCCTCGTGGAATGTGGTCGTCTACATATTCTTAAAAATATAAGGAGATTCTCACATCAAAGATGGTGCATTTCGCAAATTTAAGTATAACCATACAACTTGTGAATTTTTAATAGATAAATTTTACCCAAAAAAACGAAAAAAAGTTTCATAAATGTATTTACAGATAAGTAAATAAATACAATTTTACAAAATTTATTAAAATACTGCCTCCACAAATTACTCGTCCCTGTCTCACGTAATGAAGCGTCTGTCTCAAAGGGTGAGAAAAATGTGAGGAATGTTGTCCGTCCGTCGAACCAATCGCGTCTTCTTCTTGGATGTCGAGGAGTTCTAGGATGACGCTGCCTTTTGTGATCGCCTCCTTTCTCAAAGATTGTTCAAGTCATTGTTAAAAGTTGTGAGTTCTCATATTGGGAATCCTTACTCCCCATTTTTTATCCAGTTCTTCCTGTTTAAACCCAGAGAAAAAAACAGGGATGACTCTGCCACCTTTTCTCACGTTGTTTGAGAGATTCCTTGGTTTGGTTAGGCAAGTTTCATATTTACATAAGTTTGTACATGTGTAATTCTACATTTGTGGGTGAGTCGGGTCAATGTGTTTTTAAAACGAGAGCCTCCCCACAAAAAAATATCGACCTAGACTATTCGACCCTAGTAGTTTGTCTAATTCAATTCAATAGACTTACAAATTCGAGATAATTGCACGAATTGATGCGTTTTCGTGCAATTGAGAGAAAATTTATCATTTGTTAACTCCGGTTATAAAATTTTATACAATTTTTACAAAGATTTTGGTCACTACTTGGTAAAAGTTGGATCATTTTTCGAATAATTTAAAAACCCGACTAAATTACAATTAATTACGACTAAATTATACCTTCCGACTAGACAACCTTTACAAAATTTTAATATTTAAACATTCCAAATTTTCATTAGTGGCATCCAAATTCGTCGAGAAACCTACTTCAATTTTGTTAAACATTAAATACTTTGCTTCATATTTACATATATACATTGTTGAATCCAATGCATATTTATCCCCACTTACTCCGAGGATGGGTTCACAATTTTACACCGGGCTCAAATAACTACAAGCTAAAACATTCACCATATTTTAACTCGACACTTTCCCAGAAATTAACTCCCCCACGAGTGACAAAGAATCCATGCAACTGCACGATTAGACCATTACGTACGTATCTCGTCCCTTGCTTAATGAGCATGTGAGAAATGAAAAGTGATAGAAACAAGGATGACAAAGAGGCAAATACGACAGATGGTGGAATACTTAGCATATTTGGTCAGGAACAAAAAAATATTTAGTGTTTAGCTCATTTGTGGTTGGGATGCAAGCAAGCGTTTTGTATTATTGTCACATACAACAAGGGGACGATGAATAATAAATAAGTTTCCATTTTTATTTTTAACTCGTCATTTCATGTTTCTGGCAAAAAATAGTTATTATAAATAA